CCGCTCCTTCTCCCTACACTGGTCCTACTGGAGGTCTTGCTGAGCGTCGTGAGCCTGCGTCTCGCCCTGCGTCGCCTGTCCGTGCTGCTCGCACTAGTGGTCGTGGTTCGCGTCAGCGTCCTCCTCCTGTCCCTGGCACGCACCGGATGTCTCTGCGTCCGTCCACTGCTCCTCTGCGTGCCCCTTTGCCTTCTCCTCCTGAGTCCTCTCTTCCTGCTCTTCCTGACCCGGAGTCGGACTCTCTTCGTGCTGCCAGTCCTACTGTCACGCGTCTCCTTGCTACTGTTGTCACTGACCCTTCCTTTGAGTCCACTGCTGCGTCTGCCCTAGTTACTGAGCTCGTCGACTTTGCTGCTCGCTGTCGTCTAGACTACGCTGCTAGTCTTGTTGTTGAGTCTGAGTCTGTCTGTCCTCCGTCCGTCGGGGGTGAGTGTGCCCTTGGCACGGACGTCCTTGAGGACAGGCAGGAGGAGTTCCAGTGTTTGGCTGCTGCTTCACCTCATCTCGTGTCCGTACTGCTTACCCCTGAGGGAGACCCGGATGCACTTGACATCCCGACTCCGCGCTCTTACGCGGAGGCGATAGAGGGTCCCTACTCCTCTCAGTGGCAGGCAGCTATGGACGCAGAGATGGCTTCCTGGAAGTCCACAGGCACCTACGTTGACGAGGTTCCCCCGCCTGGGGCGAACATCGTCAGTGGCATGTGGATTTTCAGGGTGAAGCGGCCGCCGGGTTCTCCGCCTGTCTTCAAGGCGCGTTACGTGGCTCGTGGCTTCAGTCAGCGGCATGGAGTTGACTACTTTCAGACCTTCTCTCCCACCCCGAAGATGACCACTCTTCGGGTACTGCTGCACATTGCTGCTCACCGCGACTACGAGCTGCACTCTCTTGACTTCAGCACTGCTTTCTTGCAGGGCAGCCTGCACGAGGAGATCTGGCTGCGTCGCCCACCTGGCTTCACTGGGTCCTTTCCTCCTGGCACCCAGTGGAGCCTCCGGCGGCCAGTCTACGGTCTCCGCCAGGCACCGCGTGAGTGGCACGACACACTGAGGACTACACTTGCGGCTCTTGGGTTTGCTCCCTCTACTGCCGACCCGTCGCTGTTTCTGCGCACCGACACTTCTCTGCCGCCGTTCTACATCCTCGTGTATGTCGACGACTTGGTCTTTGCCACAGCTGACACTGCTGGACTCGCCCACGTGAAGTCCGAGCTGCAGAAGAGACACACGTGCACAGACCTGGGTGAACTGCGCAGCTACCTTGGCTTGCAGATCACCCGGGACAGAGCACGCCGCACCATTACTCTGACTCAGTCACACATGGTGCAGCAGGTCCTTCAGCGCTTCGGCTTCACGTACTCCTCGCCTCAGGCCACTCCTCTGCCTACTCGTCACTCGCTCTCAGCTCTGCCTTCGGATGAGTCCGTAGAGTCGAGTGGCCCGTACCCAGAGCTTGTTGGCTGCCTCATGTACCTGATGACCTGCACTCGACCTGACCTTGCATACCCTCTTAGCATTCTTGCACGCTATGTTGCTCCTGGGAGACACAGACCGGAGCACATGGCTGCAGCGAAGAGGGTGTTGCGCTACTTGTGCAGTACGTCGGGCATGGGGCTTGTGCTTGGAGGGCAGAGTCCAGTGGTCCTCACTGGGCACGCAGACGCTTCTTGGGCTGACGACCAGGCTACGCAGCGGTCGTCACAGGGTTACACCTTCAGCCTTGGTTCCGGCTCTGTTTCGTGGCGGGCTACCCGCTCGTCTTCTGTTCTCGGCTCCAGTTGTGAGGCTGAGATCTACGCCGGGGCCATGGCTGCACAGGAGCTTCGCTGGCTCACCTACCTGCTGACTGACCTCGGAGAGCCGCCTCGTTCTCCTCCAGTACTGTACGTAGACAACAAGGCCATGCTGGCCTTGTGTCGAGAGCAGAGACTGGAGCACAGAATGAAGCACATTGCTCTCCGCTACTTCCTTGCTCGTGAGCTACAGCAGCGTGGTCAGCTGCGGCTTGCGTACGTGGCCTCTGAGGCCAACACTGCTGATATCTTCACCAAGGCACTTGCGCCTTGTGATCATCAGCGCTTCTGTACTCAGCTGGGTCTTGTGCCTACCTTGCCTCACTTGCTCACCCCTTGACCTTGTTTGTACTGTTGCATATATATATACACCTGCTCTTGCTTGTCTAGCCTTATATAGATATGTAATCCTGCATGTGAACTGGCCTTGTGGCCTTGAACTTGTGCTCGGAATGTGTGGTGACTTTGTGATCCACCCTGAGCTTGTTTTGCTTTGCTTGACTGGTCTTGTGACCCCTTGTTCTCCCCCACTTTGCCTATGGGGGTGTGTCAGATTTATATGACATAGCTACTGTAGGCTATAGTGGGGTAGCACATATAGGGTACAGTTTTCCTAGGGTTTGCATTTTGTACCCAACTTTCCCTTAGTCATTTCATTCCTCGTTTCTTCTCACAATGCTCACATGACTATTTACCCACGACTACCAAACAGACCCATTCTTCACCGCAGGAAACTCGCACCAGTTTGCAGCAGCAAAGGGGGTTTATTATGTAAAAGCCGGCACCGATCGCATCTGGGTACCGAGCTACACTTTACTAAGGGAGCTGTTACTACAGAAGGCACACGACGGGGTTACCTCAGGACATTTCGGAGTAGAAAAAAAACGGCAGCAGCTGCAGCGGTATTATTATTGGCCCGAAATGTTTGACCGATGTACAGCGGCACGTGGCATCGTGTCCCACCTGCCAACTCATGAAATCATCACGGAAGCGATCGACAGGACAGTTGCAGCCAATACCACCCCCAGAGCGTGCTTGGCAGCAGTTGACAATGGACTTCGCCACGGGGTGACCGGCTGGAGCAAGTGGGAACGACGCAATCTTGGTCGTCGTCGATCGGCTGACGAAGATGGCACATTTCGCAGCCTGAAAAAAAACAATCGCAGCCGAGGAAACAGCCCGCCTCTTCATCGCCACCATCGTTCGACTGCACGGGATACCAGCGGCGATCATCAGCGACCGCGACACGAAATTCACCTGCAACTTCTGGCGGAACCTGTGGCATCAGTTCGGCAGGCGACTACAGTTCAGTTCATCGTACCAGCAACTGCCACTCATAGAGTTCGCGTTCAACAACTCGCCATCCGCCACGACCCAACAGTCACCCTTTTACCTGACCTACGGACAAGACCCTACAGTACCCATGACCCCGAACCATGACAGCCCGGTGCCACGCGCGCAATAATTCGCATAGATTTTACAGGCAGCACGGACCCGAGCAGCAGACGCAATAAAAAAATCAAACATCATTGCTAAGGGCAACGCCGACCGCCACCGCCGATCCGTCACTTACCAGCCCGACGACCTCATCTTACTCGACACCCAGAACCTCCGCCTGCCCATCACCCCAAAACTCTGCCCCCGATATTGTGGGCCATTTCGCATCAGCCACATGATTACCTCCGTCATCGCCCACCTCCTCCTCCCTGCTGACTGGTACGTCAGCCCGTTATTCCACGTCAGCCTCCTCCGCCCATACGTCCCATCCACCAGCCAATTGCCTCGCAACCGCCCACACAGCATGACACGACCACCAACGGAGCCAATCGTCACGCCCGAAAAAATATTGAGCCACCGAGTTCGCGACCCATGTGGAGCCCGCAGAATCGAATTTCTGATCCGCTGAAAAGACCGTACGCCCACCGAAGACAACTGGGTTCTTCTGGATAGAATCGAGAACCACCTTGTCCTCACCGAGTATCTGCGCAGCCGCAATTTCCGGGATGTACACGGGCTTTCGCAAGGAGGGCCTCCTTAGGGGGGGGCAGGGCTGACTTTATCAGACTAAAATAGTCAGATTGTCTGAAATCTCAGGGTATTTTCCTACGGATCCTGATTTTTCAGACTTGTAAGATTTTCAAACATGAGTGCCTCAGACTTACTTGGTTTTGGATCCTGAGATTTTCAGAGTACTGACTTAGCCGATAATGGGTCTTCATACTACAGGGAGTACGGATCCTGAAATGCGGATCTGTGATTTCTACGTACATTCCGCTACGTCATATGTTGCCAGTGTACGAACACACTTCATGGCGCTGTCACGCGCAGAATCTGTCCTTGGCAACTTTTGCCACCCTTTTTCCTTAGAAATCTGCCAACTTGGCTCACTCTTCCACTCACGCGGGACCATCACTGCAGCTACGCGGTGTCAGCGAGGGAAACTGGTTAGCGTTGCGCCCCACGTGCTACATTTGTGGCAGTACTGTACTGCAGTGGTTGTAGTGTGTTCTGAGTACTTCAGACTTGTGTTTTTGCGGAACCTGAAAAATCAGAGTGGCCATTCTCTGGGAAATATGCCTCAGACTAAAAATTTTCAGAGCCCCCAGAACATCAGACTGGATTTTTTTGAATAGTCAGCCCTGGGGGGGGGGAGAGGGGGGGAGGGGGGGGGGGGGGGGGGGGGTGGGGGTGGTGTAAGGAAAAATTATTTTCCTTACTTAGCGTCCCTGCTCAGCGCGTACACCACTGTTCATGCCAACAACTCTCAACAGCGCATTATTACCACTCGCGACACTTGCCTCGACCACTGTTCCCGCCACTGTTTACGACGCGACCCAACCTCACGGTCCGGTTGGTAACCCGCGCTCCGGACCTCCGCCTCGTCAATTCCCAGCCTCGGCGCTAGGCCCGTAGAGCACCCCATTTTCACACATTACCGTTACCACTTTAGCTTCGCTATATATTCTTCGCTCATGCATTCGCTCAATGTACTGTTTTTGCTTCGATAGTGCAATTCTAGCTCGCTCGCTCAATTGCACTCGTAACACAATCACACATTGGTAGTATTGAAGAATTCTTACCTGATAAAATCAGTGTACTGCCTATGCAAGTCAGTTGTCTGTCCGTACACTGACATCATCCCTTACTGGAACATTTGCTGTTCCGTTGCCTTCCTCCTGCGAACATTCTGCTTAGATTATAGAAGCTAATGGCGGACCATTTGTCTCCGCCATGGTCGCACGTGTGTCACGTCCTCCAATCACTCGAGCAGCGTCGCGCGAACTGCGTCGTCACCGTCGACGACGACAGCGGTGCGACGCTAACCGGGTCGCAATTGGTCGCAGACGTCGCATGCCTGGCCAGAGGGCTGGAGACTTTCTGCGGCGTCGCTCCGGGGGAGCGCGTGTGCATCGCAGCGCTCAATAGGTACCGTAGCATAGCACGGCATAGCATACCTAGCAGTGACGTGCGATTCCGCAGGAGGTGGTTTGTAAGAGAATTCGCGAACTATTCACGTGGCTAGCTGGAAGCATTCCTTGCATTGGGATACGCTTTGCTGCTTTTTACGGCCAGCTTCCGGTCAAATGATCAGGGGGGACGGCAGAGCGAGAGTGGCTAGCGGGATTCATTCCTTGCATTGGGTGCTTTCTCGATCAATGCTGTTGAACTGACGGCGAACAGCATGCGCGAATAATCACGACTACCAGTATCGAATGTGCTAATATCGGACGCACGACCCTTCCCCGCCGTCCCTCTCCACCCATCCCTCAGTAGCTCCGTGCTCGTGCAATGCACGACTGTGCTGACATTTCTACTATCGAATGTGCCAATATCGAACCATAATCCCCTCTCACCATCCCTCGCCGCATCACCCTCATGCAGCTCGGCGTACGTGCAGTGGCTACTCGCGGTGCCGGCCGTCGGCGCCATTCTCGCGCCTCTCAACCACCGATGGGTCAGTGCCATGTCACTTAGTGTCACCCCCTCTCAGTGACACCCCCTCTCAGTGTCACCCCCTCTCAGTGTCACTCCCTCTCAGTGTCACCCCCTCTCAGTGTCACTCCCTCTCAGTGTCACTCCCTCTCATTGTCACTCCCTCTCAGTGTCACTCCCTCTCAGTGTCACTCCCTCTCAGTGTCACTTCCTCCCTCCGCTCGACTCGCACCACTCCCCCCTGCCGCTTGCATTACACAACACTGACACGTACTCACGAGTATGTGTCATATCTCACCTTTCTTCTATGCAACCCCCTTCGATCTCCCCCTTTCCTGCTTCCCGCAACGACCCCACAGAGCGTGGGAGAGGCAGCAGCAGCGGTGCAGCAGGTGGGGTTGGCGGTCCTGGTGGTGGATGCACACGCGCTGCCCTGGTGGGCCCACCTCATGCCACCACTTTCTCATCACCCCCTTTCCCCTTCCCCACCTCCCCCTCTCATCCCCTTCCCTCGTTTTTCAAACCACGTGAGCAGAGCATAGGAGAGGCGGCAGCAGCGGTGCAGCAGGTGGGGGCGACTGTCTTGGCGGTGGATGCACACATGCTGCCCTGGTGGGCCCACCTAAAGCCGCTCTGCCCCTCGCTGCGACTGGGGGTCCTCATCTCGGACCAACCCATTCCCTCCTCCGCCTCATCTCCTTGTGAGTTGAGGAGAGTTCATCTCATGGCTGCTTGCTTGCTTGCCGCCTCTGCCTCCTCTCCCTCCTCTCCCTTCCCTATCTCCTCTCCCTCCTCTGCCCCCTCTGCCCCCTCCTTACCTGGGCTTTCCTGGGCTTTCCTGGGTTTCGTTTGAAATCACGGAGGCTAAGCAGCGCGCTTTCAATGCTTCCTGCCCAACCCACCACGTCCTGCCCAACCCACCACGTCCTGCCCAACCCACGCATCCCCATGCACATGCCCATTATCACCACCACCTTCACCACCTTCACCACCTTCACCACCTTCAGCGCTGGCAAAAGGGCAATCACGGAGGCTGGGCAACGAGCTTTCAACTCCCCCTGTCCAACCCACCACGTCCTGCCCCACGCTCGCATCCCCATGCACATTGCACATGCCCATGGTCACCACCAGCAGCAGTGCTGCTCTCAATGGATGAAGTTCTTCTAGTGGGCAAAAGGGCAATCACGGAGGCTGGGCAACGCGCTTTCAACACGTCCTGCCCAACCCACCCAACCCACCACACCGCTTCCTCACCCTACCATCCTCCTCACTCGCTCGCCTCCCCCTCTCCCTCCTTCTCCTCCTTCCTCCACCACATACCCCTCCGCTTCGCCCCCCACCGCATTGCACTCCTCTGTTTCACCTCGGGCACCACCGGCACCCCCAAGGCGGCTGCTCTCTCCCACACGGCGCTCATCTCGCAGTCCCTTGCCAAGCTGGCGTGTGCAGGGTACTGCCATGACGATGTGAGTTGGGTGTGTGGGACATGGCGATGTGAGTTGGGTGTGTGGGACATGGCGATGTGAGTTGGGTGTGTGGGACATGGCGATGTGAGTTGGGTGTGTGGGACATGGCGATGTGAGTTGGGTGTGTGGGACATGGCGATGTGAGTTGGGTGTGTGGGACATGGCGATGTGAGTTGGGTGTGTGGGACATGGCGATGTGAGTTGGGTGTGTGGGACATGGCGATGTGAGTTGGGTGTGTGGGACATGGCGATGTGAGTTGGGTGTGTGGGACATGGCGATGTGAGTTGGGTGTGTGGGACATGGCGATGTGAGTCATTCTTGGAGGATTGGGTGGGGATCACATGGGGATGGGATGATGGGTGACCCAAGGATGTTTGTAACATGGCCATGCCAGAAGATTTTGGGGGCATGGATTCTTCTTCGATTTTTTTTTTTTTTTTTTTTTTTTTTTTTTGAAACAGTCCGAAACCTCTCTCTCAGAGAGAGCCCCCATCCCTACGCGAGCTCTGCTCTGCTCTCTCTTCCTGCACGTGTTCCCTCTCTGCCATACACGCGACATTTCCTCGCTCCTCGCTATCCCCCCTCTTCTCCCCTCACAGCCTCGTCCACAACCTCCCCCATCATCTTTCTCCCGCTGTTCCCTCCCACCTGCAGACCTTCCTGCACGTGGCCCCTCTCTGCCACATAGGAAGCATCTCATCCCTCCTCGCCATGCTCCCTCTTCCACCCCACTACTTACCCCGTGTTCTCCCTCCCTCCTCCCCCCTTCCCCAGGCCTTCCTGCACGTGGCCCCTCTGTGTCACATAGGAGGCATCTCCTCTCTCCTCGCCATGCTCACAGCATGTGCTCGCAACGTCCTCGTGCCGCGCTTCCTACCCTCCCACCTCCCCCATCTGTTCTCCCGCCATCGCATCACCGCCCTTATTGCCGTCCCTGCCATGCTCACTGATCTAGTGAGTGCATGCAGTGGCGAGCGCCAAGGGGAATCAAGTGAGTGATACTCTGACTGCCCACCCTCCCGCCCCCTCCTCTCACTGCTTCCCCACCTCCCCCATCTCCTCCCTCCTCGCCATGCTCACAGCATGTGCTCGCAATGTCCTCGTGCCGCACTTCCTCCCCGCCCACCTGCCCCGCCTCCTCTCCTTCCATCGCATCACCGCCCTTATAGCTGTCCCTGCCTCCTCTCCTTTTTCCTCTTCCCCAAGGGAGGAGAGCATGCGCGCAGCCCAGATCCCTGTATCGTGTGTCGTTTGGAATCCCTTTCGAGACTTCTCAAAAGGGTTTTCAGATCCCTGTACCGTTTGTCGTTTTGTGCTCATGTCACGTCCCCATCCCCCCCTCACCCCATCCCTGCACGCTGCCACGCAGGCACTTCGTTCCCACTCGTGCGAACGCTGCTGGTGGGGGGAGGCGCATTGAGCCCATCGCTGCAGCGGCACACAGAGGCACTCTTCCCATGCGCGCGCCTCATGCTCGCTTATGGTACCTCTTTCTTGCCTCCCACGAATCTCTTCCCCACTCGTGCACTCTAAGCTGCTGCTGGTTGGGGGGAGGAGCCATCCCAGTCACCATCTCTTGCTCTTGCTGGCCTATAAAACCTCCTCGTTGGCATCTCCGATGCTCTCTCATGTTTTCTAGTAGATCCCCTCTTGTATGCTGCACCTGCTCCTGTCCTGTCTCGTGCAAGCAACCAGCAATTCAAACCCCACATGCTTTCTCTCTCCATTAACCACCTTTTCCACCCCCCAGGCATGACCGAAGCAGCCTCCTCTATCACGTTCGCCATGCTACGGGACCCTGCAGAGGAAGAGACGGCAGGGGCAGAGAGAGAAGCTGCAGAGACAGGAGCACCATCGGCACCAACAGCATCAGCATCAGCGTGCTGTGTGGGCTTCCCTGCTCCACACGTTCAAGTCTGCATTGCACCCCTCCCTCCCGATCACCCTCACCCTCCTCCTCCTCCTCCCCGGCTCGACCCTCACTCATCCCTCCCCCATCAACACTCGCACTCCCCCCTCAATCACCCCGCACTTCAATCCAGCCAGCCTTCAGCTCACAAGTCTTGTCCTGTAGTGGGGGAGGTGCTAACCCGCGGCCCGCACGTTATGAGCGGCTACTGGGGTAGACCAGATGAAACCGCCGCAGTGCTCTCCCCAGACGGCTGGCTGCGCACGGGAGACATGGGCTGGATCGACTTTTCCGGGCAGATTTGGCTGCTGGGCAGGCGAAAAGAAATGATCAAGTCGGGCGGGGAAAATGTTTTCTGCGCCGAGGTGGAGGAGGCAGTGAGAGCACACCCGGGAGTGGTAGGCGCAGCAGCGGCAGGGGTCCCGGATGAGCGCATGGGGGAGGCGGTTGCTGTGCTGCTGGTGCTGAAACCGGGATGGGTGTGGTCGGGAATCAGCAGTAATGACAGTGGTGGTGGTGATGCTGGCGGTGCTGGCGGTGCTAGCGATGTCGGCAGGTTTGGTAGTGGTGGTGGCAGTGCAGCAAGGGCAGCTGCTGCTAAGAACGTGTCGTTGAGTGACTTGCATGCTGCCTGCCAGCAGCACGGCCTTTCCAGGTATGTGAAATGTTGGCTAATTTTTGTATCATAAACTTGGCTGTTCAGTGCTCACATTCGCCATCCCAAGGCACATTCACATCATTAACTTCTGCTCACAACTTCACCAGGTACTTTGTCTCCCTCAATAGACTTTGCGCCTCTTGTTTCCTTTGCTTGCAGGTACAAGCTCCCTCGAATGGTGGTGGCTTTGCCAAAAGGACAGTCATTGCCTGTGACAGCTTTGGGAAAGGTGAAGCGAGCGGAAGTTAGAGACATTATTATTAATGACATGGAAAGAAGTGTGCCAAGGATAAAAGCTAGATTGTGAACATGGAAATCACAGATGGAATCATTTATATCATGCCTTTGGTTTGTGACTTCGCATCACATCCCAACCGCACCTTATTCCATTAAACAAGGCAAGTTGGCATGTGCAAACTATCTATTTACGCAGTCCTTTTACTTTCTTGTAGCTTTTGCTGGTTAGTGGTACTTGCTTTGTCCTCGGTACAAGTTTCATCCGAGATACGTGGTGTTGTTGTGGCCCGCATTTTTTACTCATATTCTTAGCCATTGACTTTTTTGCTGTAGGTGAGTCGTGACACGTCAGTACCTCACTCCCCGACTCACACCCGAACGCGTGGTGGGATCTCAGCCACTCTCAATTCTGAGTCGCACAAACCGTCGCATGGCGGCCAGCTACCAAAAGCACACCAGATAATTGAGGTGCGAGTTGTCGTCCGTCGTCATGCGATGTCGCAGAAGGATGGCGGCGTAGACTGCGAATCCAAAATAGATGTTGGGGGGATTGAGTTGGGTTAGTTGAGGTTGGGAGAGAAGAGGAAACAAACCACTCCCAAGAGCGTTCCGAAGTTGGGCCACCTATGCTAGAATTCAGAGCATCCTTTTTATCGATTCTGCCATTCTTCTAACCACATACCAGACCGCCACGCTGCTCACATCTCTCGTTCCGCTCTGGCGACCTGTCGGCGACAGCCATACTTCCTCCTTCGCCTTAGCACTCCTGCGCTCATCCTTCTCTAGTGTTACCCTCGCACCAGCGTCGTCCCGTCGCGTCGTTGAAGCTCGATTGATATTTATAGAATATCAAATATTTACTCCACCTGACCTGCTGTCTCTTCTGGGATTCTCTTTCCGCCATCCCGCCGTTCCGCTCATTTCGCGCGTTTCGCTCGTTTCATTCGCACCCACATGGCGTCGTCGTTTGCTCTAGCGGGAGTTGATGCTTCGTCACTAGCTGCTTCGCGATTCTGTTCGCGTCCCCTTTGCGTCGCTTCAGGTAAGCTCAGAATCTCCTCACCATTTCCCCGCATCCGCACCTTCCCCCCCTCTTACTCTCCCTCCTCCTTCCCATCCCCCAACTCTCTTGTTTCTTATTCCCCCGTCCTCACTTCCTCCTCGTTTCGTGAGCAACGTCTCGCAAATTCACTCTAGTGCGGGTGTGCCTGTATCGAATGTGACGCGCAGGTGAATTTAGACTCGGAATAAGCCCGAGACAGCACAACCAGAGACAGCAGCAACAGCAGCGGAGGTTGGTGGGCGTGTTCACAGTGCGGTCGAGTGCGGTTGAGAACGCGGCAGCTGAGACCAATGTGACCGACGAAGGGAAGCAGGTGAGAATCGGGGCAGATGAGGGGTGGGGCAGGTGAGGGGTGGGGCGGGCGAGAGACGGGGCCGGTTAGGGGTGGGCAAGTGGGAGGTGGGACGAGTGAGAGGAGAGGCAGGTGCGAGGGCGGGTGAGAATGGCACCACAGACTCATTGCATCGCGTCCGCTCTGTCGTCATCCCGGGTTCACCCAAAAGGCCAGAAAAGGGGAAGGAATTTGTTAAAAAAAAAACTAACTAACTAACTAAATAATTAAAAGAAAAAACCGTGATTGCATCTCAGCCGTCTATGAAGATTTTACGATTCACGTGCACTGCCACGTCACTTCCCCTCAACCCCTCCTCGCACCAACCCCCGTTTTCCGCCGCCCCCTCCCTTCCCCCGCCCTCTCCCCCCAGCTGCAGCAGCGCAAGGCGGAGTGGGCGCGGGTGCGGGGGGTGGCGGAGAGGGGCGCGGTGGTGCGCGGACGAGTGGTCTCCGCCAACGCGGGGGGCCTCATGGTGCGCCTGGGCCCGCTGCAGGCCTTCCTGCCGCTCTCCCAGCTCGACCCCTCACGCCTAAGAGGCACGGGTGAGTCATATTGGAAAATGTTGTTCCAGGGACGGTGAGCGCCCAATGCAGTGGATGTGACTTGAGGCGTGGTGGGCAGCATGGTGGGGGTGAGGGTCCTCGGGCTGGACGAGGCACGAAGAGAAGAGAGGAGCCTGAACTCCCTCCTTCCCCTTTCCTCCCACTCCTTCTCCCTAGCAGCAGCATCACCAGCGCCCAATGTAGCGGACGTGACTCGGGACCTAGTGGGCACTATGGTGGGGTTGAGGTGAGGGTGCTGGAGCTGGACGAGGCGAGAACGTGCCTGGTGGTGTCGGAGAAGCGAGCAGCAGCAGCAGCCAAGGAGCCTGAATAATTCCATCCACTCTCTCCCATCCCCTCTCTCCTCCCCACCTCCCCAGCAGCACTGGCAGACGTGACTAGAGCCCTGGTGGGAACCATGGTGGGGGTGAGGGTCCTCGAGCTGGACGAGACGCGCACGCGCCTGGTGTTGTCGGAGAAGGGAGCAGCCGCAGCCAAGGAGCTGCACTTTCCCATCCCCTTTCTACCTCCCCCTCCCCACTCTCTCCCTCCCCGTCCCAGCAGCAGCAGTGGCGGACGTGACTTGAAGCCTAGTAGGAACCATGGTGGGGGTGAGAGTCCTCGAGATGGACGATGCCCGAACGCGCCTGGTGGTGTCGCATAATGGCGGTAAGAAGGGCGCTGGGGCAGCAAAGCAAGGAGCCTGAACCCTCCCTTTCATCTCTCTCTTCCTCCCCCTCCCATCCCATTACATCCCAGCAGCACTGGCAGACGTGATTCGAAGCCTAGTAGGGACCATGGTGAGCGTGAGAGTTCTCGAGATGGACGAGGCGCGAACCCGCCTGGTGGTGTCTGAGAAGCGGGCAGCAGCAGCCAAGGGGCCTGAATTCTCCCATCCCCTCACTCACATCCCCTCTCCAACATTCCGTCCCTCGCGCCCCTCCCAGCAGCGGTAGCAGATGTAACCCGAAGCCTTGTGGGCAACATGGTGGTGGTGAGGGTGCTCGAGATGGACGAGGCGCGACGATATGAGAGGAGCCTGAACCCCCCCATTCCATCTCCCCCTCCCCTCGATCCCTCTCCCATCTCTCGCGCCCCTCCCAGCAGCGGTAGCAGATGTAACCCGAAGCCTTGTGGGCAACATGGTGGTGGTGAGAATCCTCGAGTTGGACGAGGCGAGAACGCGTCTGGTGGTGTCGGAGAAGCGGGCAGCAGCAGCCAAGGGGCTGCCGCGCGTGCAGCAGGGGCGCGTGTATCCGGGCGTTGTCTCCTCGCTCACAGACTTCGGCGCCTTCGTGGACCTCTTCCAACCGGAGGGAGACAAAGAGGAGGGAGTCAGGGAGGGCGAGAAGGACGGGGAGAAGGAGGGCGCATTTTTGGCGACGGGGCTGGTGCACGTGTCAGAGCTTTCTTGGGACCCCGTTCGCTTGCCCGGTGATGTCGTTGCTGTGGGGGATGCAGTCAACGCCTTGGTGCTGCAGGTGGACCGGTGAGCTGAGAAAGGTTTTTTTAGTAAATTCAAATGTGGACTAGGGAATTCAAATGTGGACTAGGGAATTCAAATGTGGACTAGGGAATTCAAATGTGGACTAGGGAATTCAAATGTGGACTAGGGAATTCAAATGTGGACTAGGGAATTCAAATGTGGACTAGGGAATTCAAATGTGGACTAGGGAATTCAAATGTGGACTAGGGAATTCAAATGTGGACTAGGGAATTCAAATGTGGACTAGGGAATTGTGAGCCGATGTGCATGCGAAGGGGCTGGGCTGCAGCGCGCGCAGCGGGGTCGCATGCACCAGGGAGTGGGGGGAAATGCAGTCAACGCCACGTGGACTGGTGAGTGGGTGGACTTGCAGGGCTGGAGGGTCAGGCAGGCAGGCAGGCGGGCAAGCGGGCGGGCAGGCAAGCGGGCAGGCAAGCGGGCAGGCAAGCGGGCAGGCAAGCGGGCAGGCAAGCGGGCAGGCAAGCGGGCAGGCAGGCGGGCAGGTGACCAGGCGGACGGGGTAAAGGGATGTTACAACTAGCTTTGGCCCCTCATCTCGTCTCGTCCCATCTCGTTCAATGTGTGCATTTCTGCACCCATGTGTGGCCATGTGATTATTTGGCCATGCATGCTGATGATAGCAGGGAGAGGGAGCGAGTGGGGTTGTCGCCTGCTGCTCTTCCAACCCGCACCAGATCATTCCATGTGCCCATGTGTCCATGTGTCCATGTGCCCATGTGCATTCCTTCAATCCATCCATGCATCCCTGCGCCCTTACAAACGGCAGGGAGAGGGAGCGAGTGGGGCTGTCACTGAAGCAGGTGCAGGGCAGACCCGCTTCTCGAGACGTTAGACCGCCTGCTACCTATCCAACCCGCACCAGATCATTCCATGTGCCCATGTGCATTCCTTCCCTCCATCCATCCATCCATCCATGCATCCATGCAACGATGTGCACTGCGCAGGGAGAGGGAGCGAGTGGGGCTGTCGCTGAAGCAGGTGCAGGCAGACCCGCTCCTCGAGACGCTAGACCGCTTGCTGCCCTTCCAACCCGCACCAGATGCCACCTCCCCTTCTGCCTCCGCCCTTGAGGTGAGATCCCTCTGCTGCTTTCAAGCCCTTTCGCCTATCCCTTGCCCTCTGCCCTTTCGCCTATCCCTTGCCCTCTGCCCTTTCGCCTACCCCTTGCCCTCTGCCGTTTCGCCTACCCCTTGCCCTCTGCCGTTCTACCCCTTGCCCTCTGCCGTTTCGCCTACCCCTTGCCCTCTGCCCTTTCGCCTACCCCTTGCCCTCTGCCCTTTCGCCTACCCCTTGCCCTCTGCCCTTGAGGTGTCAGTTCCTTCTGCAACTTGATCTCTTCTCACTTGCTCTTTCCCCCCATGCTTGCTTCATGATTGCAAGCTCACACACACATGCACATGCACGCGCACATGGATAAGCACACACATGCATACAGACATCCACACATGCACACACATGCACACAGACATCCACACATGCACACAGACATCCACACATGCACACAGACATCCACACATGCACACAGACATCCACACATGCACACAGACATCCACACATGCACACACATGCACACACATGCACACACATGCACACACATGCACACACATGCACACACATGCACACACATGCACACACATGCACACACATGCACACACATGCACACAGACATCCACACATGCACACAGACATCCACACATGCACACAGACATCCACACATGCACACTCACACACACACCCACAGTTGACCTGAAACACACGTTTATTTTGTCCTCCCTGTTTCCCCCCCACCTCCCTCTCCTCCCCTGCCACCATCCCCAGATGTCCTCTGCTGCTCCTTCCTCTCCCCTCCCCGGTGCCGCCTCACCCCCTGCCCTACCTGGCCTGCTAGCTCTCTGCAACCAGCTCCAGCAGCAACCAGGGTAGGCTGATTGAACGCCGCCTCTCTCCCTGTGTATGCCCCTCATTGGCACACCCTTGGCACCTCCTCTCCTCCTCCCCCGCCAGTCCTGCTAGCCCTTGACAACCAGCTCAGGCGGCCCAGAGTTGCTGGTTCACTGAAGGGCAACGCAGATGCGTTGAACCAGAGTTGAATCTGAAGTCCAACTCTAGTGCACTCCAGATTCACCTCTTTCAGTGAGAGTCAGCAACTGCGCAGATGTCATCACTCCAGCTCTCCCCCTTGTTCCACCACCAATGCAAATTCGGCTGTTGAATCCACTCAGGTGCTTCCACTCTCCTCGGCTCTTGCCTACTCTCTCCCGTTGTCCGCATACAGGATCGTGTCAGTGACGTTGGGCAGGCAGGCAGTGGAGCGACGGGTGGTGTCTCAGGACCTGGAGCTCTGGCTGTCCAATGTGAGTAGTGAAGGGAGCGAGGGAGAGAAGGAATGAATGTAAAGGTGAACGAAGGGTTGGGCTGGGCAGAACAAACGGGGAGATGAAGGTAGGCAGTGGGGCGATGGGTGGTGTCTCAGGACCCATTTGTTCATTTGGACGGGTGGTGTCTCAGGACCTGGAGCTCTGGCTGTCCAATGTGAGTGACGGAATAACTGGAAGGGGGGAGAGGCAGAACAAACGGGAAGGTGAAGGGAGGGAGTCATGGTTTCCTGTCTTCTCCATGTTTCACGTTTGTGTGGTACAAGCCGTTGTGGTTGACTGGTTGGCAGCTAGTGGCAGGGCGGCCGGCAGTGTTGCACGAGTTGGAGCTCTTGCTTTGCAATATGTGTCGCTGTGTCAGCTATCAGCAGTGTGAGCATATCTCACCTCCTTCCCTTCACTTCCTTCCCTTCACCTCCCTCCTGTGCCCACCGCCCGTGCACTTGCTCTTCTTACAGGCGCCAGCAGCAGAGGGGCAGTTTGCATTGCTGGCACGAGCAGGCCGATTGGTGAGCATTCTTTCTTATGCCTCTTTGCCCTGTTCCGCAAGTTTGAATGCTATGCAGTACGTCCAGAAAGTTACAAATAGTGCTGCCTGTTTTGGTGTGCCCAAGTTTTCTCTCACTCCACTTGCTTTTGTACTGCCTTGTTGCTTCCTGTGCTCACTTGGGCCAATCAACGTGCAGGTGCAAGAGGTTCAAGTTGTTGCCACTTTGGATCGGGAACAGATGAAGGAAGTCCTGAAGCAGATCTCTTAGGGTAGTGCAATGTGCAATGCGTGGTGTGTACCACTAGCTGAGTTGAGTTGTTGTAACTTTTGCACACTGATGTGTAGTGAGTTGTATAAACTGCCAGATTTCTGAAGTCTATTCAGTGCAAGTTTCTCAAAGGTATTGTTTCTGCAGCAAGTTTATGAGGCATGCACACCCCTAGTCAAAACACAAATCCTGCACCAATAACCATGCTTTTTACTCTCTTATTCTTGCATCTGGCTTTGCTTTACGTAGGTGGTAGAGAGAGTATTCTGAATTATCATGTTGCATGGTGAATACGAAATCATAGGTGCAGTTATCACTAAAAATGCACAGATATTGCCTTACATCTTTGCTGCACCATAGCCTATCATCCCACTCCAATCTAACGTACCTACCGGTATCACTAAACAGCATTGACGAAGCGTCGGCAATATACCTACTCGTGTACAGGTCAGCTCTTATGCAGAGCAATCGGTTGAGGTAAACGAACGAGGACACAGTAGCATCACTTCACAGCTTCAATCAGTCATCTGCCATTCTGCTCACCACACCGTCCTTCCAGCCTTCCAAAACAGCATTCAGATGCCTGTCTTGGAGCGCCAGACATCAAGTCAAATGGCGCCAGTGAGTGACCAGATGTCAGATCAGATGTCAGACGACTTATTTGAGTTGACGCAACAACCATCCAGCCAGCCACACTCCAGAGCATTAGTCATGAGATGCCAGACGCGGCAGCTGCCACACTCCATAGCAATCACACTGTTCCTCAACCCCACCCACCATCCCTCATCCATCACTGAACACCATGGACACGGGCGCGGCAATATCCGCGCTCATGTACGAATTCACCCCGGCAGACATCCCTAGAATTTTCCCTGGCACATGGTCGTAATCCTCCTCCTCTGCAATATCCATCTGCTCTTACCGCACCCCACCGCACTCCACTCCACCCCGCCCCTTATCTATCACTAAACACCATGGACACCGGCGCAGCAATATCCGCGCTCGTGTACGGATTCACCCCGGTGGACGTGCCAGGAATATACTCAGGCACGTGGTCATAATCCTCCTCCTCGTCCTCCGCAATATCCATCAGATTATCCTCCCGGTCCTCCAAATCGTCGTCCGGGAACAGATTCATCACCGGCTCGAGAATCCCGGACGAGGGCTTTAAGAAGTACTTGATTTCCGCGAGGCGGGTGGCGACCTCGGCCATCTCGGGGCGGTCACGGCCGAGGCGGCGCACGCACATGGCGGTGACGGCTGCGAGCATGTTGAGCGCCTGGCGCGGGTAGGCGCCTGTGAGGCGCGGGTCCAATATGCTCTCCACCTTGCCTGCTGCTATCTTGGGTGTGGCCTGGGGAACGAGGAGGGGAAGAAGGGGGGTGAGGGGGATGTGGAGTGGAGTGTGAGAGCGTGACCATGTACGACTCGTTCTCCACTGAGGGGCCCTCCATGATGGGCGGACAGCGTGGGAGTGGTGCAAGGTTCAGGGTTCAGGGTTCAGGGTTCAAGGTTCAAGGCTCAAAGTTTGCCACTCACCTGGGTACAACTCGTTCTCTACTGGGAGGTCCTCCATGATGGTATGCAATGTGGCAGTGGGGTGTTGTGTTCATGGCTCAGGGTTGAAGATTCAGAGCTTGCCACTCACCCATCGCGAGAGCGTGACCATGTATGACTCGTTCTCCACTGATGGGTCCTCCATGATGGGCGGGCGGCCTGTGATGAGCTCCAGCAGCACCACTCCGAAACTGATGCGTGGGGCGGGAAGGCAGGAGAGAAGGAGGGCGATGGGCAAAGGAGGAGAAGTAAAGGATGAGGAGTGAAGGATTGAAGAGTCCAGCAGCAGGACCATGGCCAGGGCAGGAGAGGAGAGAGGAAGGCGTAGATGAGGGAGGGAAGGGACGATGGAGAGTAGCACGAGGGGATTGAAGAAGCAAGAACATAATTGATGTTTTATTTATTTATTTAATGGCATGTTTATTGAGTCATTTCAGGAAAGTGCTTCAACTCGCACCTGTAAACGTCGCTCTTGGTGGTGACCTGACCTTGTACTTCTGGTAATACTCAGGGTCCACTTAGCCCGGAAAGCAGCATGGAGTGACATGGCACGGTGCATGGTGCATGATGCTTCAATTCTCGCCTGTAAACATCACTCTTGGTGGTGACCTTGTACGTCTGGTAGTACTCGGGGTCCACATAGCCTGGAGAGGCATGCCATGGGGTGCCCACCAGCCAGGTGTGCACGTTATACAGTGCCCCGAACCTCACCTGTACACATCGCTCTTGGTGGTGACCTTGTACGTCTGGTAATACTCGGGGTCCACATAGCCTGGAGTGCCCACCACCCGCGTGTTCATCTCGTCACCCGGCTTGTTGCTGCCGCTCTTCTTGAACACGCCAAAGTCTGCCACCTTCGCCTGGAAGGGCAGCAGGGGAAGGGAAAGGAAAGAGATGGGGGAACGGAACGAAACGGCTCTCAGGAAGACTTTTGAAACGTCTCAAAACACTACTTTCATCAGGGAGGGGAAAGAGATGGGGGAAGACGGAAGGAAACGGCTGTCACGAGGACCAGCAGAGCTCAAAGGTTGCTGCTGTTCCTCAACACTCCAAAGTCCGCAAAATTGGCATGTGAACGTGGGGAGGAGGGAAATGGGGTTCAGATTGATTGGGTGTGAAACGAGTACAAGCAACACCCAATCCTCAGCACCATGCCATCAGCTCACCATCATGCCATTATCCAGCAGGATGTTATCGCACTTGATGTCACGGTGGATGATAGCCGGCTCTGGGGTGACAGAGAGCAGCACCAATCTTTGAGTTCTAAACCTAACCCTAAAGCACCCCCTCCTCACCATCATGTCGTTATCCAGCAGGATGTTATCGCACTTGATGTCACGGTGGATGATAGCCGGCTCTGCCGCGCTGTGCAGATACTTGAGGCCCTCTGCCGCCCCCACCGCTATCTCCAGCCGCTGCTCAAATGTCAACGGCCGCTTGGTCGGGTCTGCAGGGAGGTGGGGTGTAGAGAGGTGGGGGGATAAACAGCAGCATGTTTGGCTTTAGAAGCGTCTGCAAAGGCTGTGAAGGTACTTGAGGCCCTCTGCCGCCCCCACTGCTATTTCCAGCCACTGCTCAAACGTCAACGGCCGCTTGGTCTGAAGAGAGGTGGAGGGGCAAGGTAGCGGGTAAAGTAGAGGGTCACCACCATTGCACCCCTAGCACTGCTGGGGCGGATGTGCTGCCAGAGGGTGCCCAATAGCCACAAAGCCATACACGAGAATCTGCTCCTCTCCCTTCTCATTGCAGCACACGGTCTAGCCTTAGTTGTGAAAGACGCAGGGCGCGTCATGCGTCCTGCGTCTGGACGCAGCGTCCGGACGCAGGACGCACAGCGGTTTTTTTTTCGGGCTGACCGAAAAAAAAAATCGCCAGCGCGAAGTTGACATTCGCGATTTCAACGCGACTGTCAAATTCGCGACATTTCGACCCCCCCTAACCCATTTCAACCATCAAAAACAGCCCACGCACAACATTTGTGTAACCCCCCATCACCAAAATTGTAAACCCAACCCCTCACAACCCAACTACATCTAGAAAACCAAACCATGGTGGACCACCACCAAGCCCATTTAGGAGGTCAAAATCTTCATTTGTGCTCCATCTCTGTATATGAACACAATTCTCCTTCGTAAACCCTAGAGGGTTTAGCTACCTTTCGCTCCATAGTGCTACCTTTCGCTCCATAGTGCTACCTTTTGCTCCATTGCTACCTTTTTGCCTCACATGTGTGATACGTCGTCCTCCCCCCCTTTCCCATGCCCTATAACGTGTTTTTTTGGCTGCCCGGGGGTTTTTTTTCCCTGCCCGGACATTCGTCTTTTGTAGCGTCTCCCAGGCCCACATGAAGCGTCCTGCATCTGAGACGCTGCGTCTGGACGCACCCGTCTAAGACGCAGGACGCGTCTTTCGCAACTAAGGGTCTAATCACAAGCAGACCCTCACCTGCACCCGCCCACTGCTGGGCCAGGTGTGAACATCCTGCTGCAATCCCAAAACTCACTGCTGGAACTCGTACACGAGGATGTGCTCGCTCGCCCGTCTCATCACGGCACAAGGATTAACCACCAAACCCAGACCCTCACCTGCACTCACTGCTGCGCCCCTAACACTCACTGCTGGGGCGAATGTGCTGCCTGAGGGTGCCGTTAGCCACAAACTCATCATACACGAGCATCTGCTCTCCCTTCTCATCGCAGTAGCCCAGCAGCACAAGGACTAACCACAAGCAGACCCTCTACTGCACTCACTGCTGGGCTGAACTTGAAGCACAACGACTCACCACCACCAAGCCCTCCACTGCTATCCCAACACTCACTGCTGGGGCGAATGTGCTGCCTGAGAGTGCCGTTGGCCACAAACTCGTACACGAGAATTTGCTCGCCCTTCTCATCGCAGTAGCCCAGCAAACGCACGAGGTTGCGGTGAGACATCTTGCTGATCACGTCCACCTGGAGAAAGAGGGCATGGGAAGCACCGGGGAAGGGTTGGGGGCGAAGGGGGGTTGTTTTCAGCCCTTCGCATCGCAATAGCCCAGCAGTCGCACCAAGTTGGTTTTTGAGGCGCCTCAAAAACCACCTCAATGCACAGGGGGGTTGTTTTCAGCCCTTCTCATCGCAGTAGCCCAGCAGTCGCACCAAGTTGCGGTGAGACATCTTGCTGATCACATCAACCTGCGTGCATTAAGATGGGGGGCAAGAGGGAAGAGGGGAAGGGAGGGTTGCAGTTCAGCCCTTCTCCTCGCAGTACCTCAGCCCACCCACGTACGGAAGGGAGGGAAGAGGGTTGCAGTTCACACCCATCCACGCCCTCACCTCGTTCTGGAAGTCCTCAATGCCATCTTCGCTGGCGTTCTTGGTGCCACCCTCAATCCACCCACACTTACCCACCCTGCTAAACTCACACCCACACATACAGAACACCTGCATTAACGTACCCACCTGCATTAACGTACCCACCTGCATTAACGTACGTACCCATCTGCACACCCCCAAAACCAACAAAGCCCACCTGCACACCCCCAAAACCAACAAAGCCCACCCACACCCCCACCCACGCCCTCACCTCGTTCTGAAAGTCCTCAATGCCCTCCTCATTCGCGTTCTTGGCGCGCTTCACAGCCCACAGCGTGCCGCCCGGAGCCACGCCCTTGTAGACAGTGCCGTACCCGCCCGACCCCAGCTCGTTGTCGCTCGCAAAGTTGTCCGTCGCGCGAATCACATCCTCCAAAGCCAGCGCCTTCACGAAGTTCTCCTGCACCTTCAATCCGAAGTCCGACTGGCTGCGCGCCTTGGACTGTGATGCTGACACTGGGAAAAAGGGGAAAGGAGAGGGGGTGGATTCGACTCAAGAGCCGCTGGCAAAGTTGTCCGTCGCGCGAATCACGTCCTCCACGCGCCAGCCAGCGCCTTCACAGAGTTCTCCTGCACCTTCAGCCCAAAGTCGGATTGGCTACGCGCTTTAGACGCCGACGCTGACACTGGGGGAAGATGGGGGGCGGAGGGGAAGGGGAGGGGGAGGACTGAGACCCCAGCTCGTTATCCCTCGCAAAGTTGTCCGTGGCGCGAATCACGTCCCCCAAAGCCAGCGCCTTCACGAGACTCTCCTGCACCTTCAGCCCAAAGTCGGATTGGCTGCGCGCCTTGGACTGCGACGCTGACACTGGGGGAAGGAGGGGGTGCAGGGGTAGGTAGGGGGAGGGGGGAACGTGTGTGTGTGTGTGTCAGGACAGCGCCTTGACAAAGTCCTCCTGCACCTTCAGCCCAATACCGAACCGCTCTCCCACACCCGCCCTCCCCACCCCCATCCTCCCTCCCAACACTCAAAGCTGTTGGTTTTCCGCATGGACCGGCTCTCATCCTTCCTCAGCATCCCCAGCTCCTCCCACGGTTTTGGATCCCCACCTTCCCCACCTCCCTCCCTCCCCACGGCTGTTCGTTTTCCTCATGGATCGGCTCTCATCCTTCTTGAGCGACCCCAGCTCCTCCTCAGAAATTCACGTGTATCATTTAAGCCTCAAGACACTCTTCCTAGGCCCAATAACTAACCGCTCTCCCACACCCGCCCGCCCCTCCCCTCCAACCCCCCCCCCCCCCCCCCCCCCCCCCTCAGCACTCACTGCTATTGGTTTTCCGCATGGATCGGCTCTCGTCCTTCTTGAGCGACCCAGGCTCCTCGCCATTCTCCTTCTCCTTCTCCTCCTCCTGCTTCTCCTTCTCCTTCTCCTTGCGTTGCTCCTCCTCCAGTGCCTTCTGCCGCAGCAGCAGCTCCCGTGCCAGCTTGGCCCGGTACCAAGTGAACCCAGCGGCTGCCAGCGCAGCACCGGTGAAAATGACTGCCAGCACGATGAGGAGAATGGTCCACCACTTGGGCTCGCTGCTGCTGCTGCTGCTGTCGCTGGTGCTGCTCGTGGTGCTATTGGCTGGGTTGGGGGGGGGAGGGGAGAGAAGGGGAGAGCGGGTGAAGATGATTGCCAGCACGATGAGCAGGATGGTCCACCACTTGGGCTCGCTGCTGCCGCTGCTGCTGCTGCTGCTTGTCGTGTTGCTGCCTGAGTCTGGAGAGGGAGGAGACAGCGTGGGTGGGATGGAAGGGGGAGGGAGGGGAGAGGGGTGGGAATGAGTGCACTAGCAGCAGGCGCCAGCAGCAGCAGCTCCCTCTGCAGCTTCGCCCGGTACCAAGTGAACCCAGCGGCTGCCAGCGCAGCACCGGTGAAGATGATCGCCAGCACGATGAGCAGGGTGGTCCACCACTTGGGCTCGCTGCTGCCGCTGCTGCTGCTGTTGTCGCCGCTGCTGCTCGTGGTGTTGCTGGCTGGGTTGGGGGGGGAGAGGGGACAGCGTGGGTGGGATGGAGGGGGGAAGGGGGCGGAAGGGAGGGGAAGGTGCTTGGTGGGATGTGGTGGAGGGCGTACCAGCGGAAGGTGCTTTGTAAGTGGAGAGCGTGCCTGAGGGAGGTGGGATGTGATGGAGGCCGTACCTGAGGGAGGTGGAACGTGGTGGAGGGCGTACCTGAAGGAGCTGTTGGCGAGGCGAGCAGTAGAGGCGGAATGGGCTGCCCTGGCGGGTAATCTGCCACGGACCACGTGGGAAGGCAGTGGGGATGTCAGCGGGTGCGGCAGCAGTAACGGGCGAGGCAGCAGAAACGGGTGAGACTGCAGTAACGGGCGAGGCAGCAAAACCAGCAAGGGAAGAACGCAGTCACGGTGCAGGGGGCAATTTGGGTCGACTCAGAAAGCTGTTTGCTTCGACCCAAGTGAAACTCAAGTTTGGGTTCACTCAAAACGCAACTGCCCCCCCATCACTCACACATGCTGGGAGCGGTGGCGACGTTAGAGGGCGTGCCAGCCGCAGCAGTCAAGAGAGCAGCGGAGGCGAACTCAGGGGCGGCGAAGGCAGAGTTGTTGCGCAGGCGGTTCACCATCTCTGCCACGTCAACGCCGCTCCACGCCAGCGTGTCATTGCGGAACACGAGGAACGTGGCGGTGTCAGACGTGTCGGCGCTGTTCACGCGAAACAGGGACACCTGGCAGTGGCGTGTTGGGGTTGCGAGGAAACGGGGATCTGGCCTTATCATTCTTGACACCAAGAAGGGTGTGCTACAGTTACGGGAGGCCTGTGAGACGGGACCTGGGCGCTGGAGAGTTACCTGAGAGAGATATACCTGAGCGAGAGGCACATGAACGCTGGAAAGATTTGGCTACAGTAGGAAGAATTGGCAAGTACAGAGAATTGGCTAAAGTGGGAGGATTGGCTGAAGAAGCAATACCTGACCGCTGGAGAGCCCTAGAATGGATTCGACGTGAGAATCGAGCGAGTCCGCAACGGACGGCGTGATTCGCGGATTGCCGAGTTGATCGGACGGCGAGGAGAGTTCGAGCGTGACAATAACGGGCGGGCAGCACGCGCAAGCGCTGGACGCCTTGTACACGTAAGGGTTGGGGTACGTGGTGCCATTGCAGGCCGGGACGGCCACGCACGCCGACATATACTCGTACGGCGCCTCCGGACCTGCACCCCCCCCTCTTCCGAACCCCGCCCGCGAGACTGCGGCGGATGATAGAGATGATAATGAGAGCGACGAGGAGGTGGGGGAGGAGGAGGCGATAGCATCGGCTATCGGATCGTTGCCTACTTCTGCTGCTGCCGATGACAGCCGTCGACGCCCTGTCAGTGCGGAGGCACGTACAGGAAGGGGTGGGGGTTAAGGGGGAGGGGGGGAGGGGGGGGGGGGGAGGGGGAAGGACAGGGGAGGAGGGGGGAAGGGGAAGGGGGAGAGGTGAGGTGGGTGGGGATGGGAGGGGTGCAGACGCGGGTTCAGGCGCGTCAACAGTGACAGGAGGAACAAGACGACATTGGACAGGAAAGCGGGGAGACGAGAGGAATCGGGATTGGGAATAGGGAACGGGGAATATGGATCGGAGAATGGGGAGAAACGGTAAAGGGGACTGGGAGATAGGGAAGGCGATGAAAGAAAGTATAGCAGTAGACCGACGAGCGGCGGGTCGAGGGTACAGCGGACTGTAGCGAATGTTCTTCTATCGCGATAATCTGACAAGGTCGTTAGGGTTGAAAGCCGAACATTCTGACTCTCAAGTAGGTTTCCTGCATACAGGCACACTGCAGGACGTACAGTTTCCTCCTAGGACTTGAGCGCGCAGCGGGAACGCTTCTATCGAATCGGAAGTTCCATGTGGTCGTCCTCCGGCTGCCACGTGTGCGAAGGCTAGCAGCACGATTATCAATGCCGAGCAGCTACTGCTACTGCTCCAACTGTTGCCGCTGCTGTTGCTGCTGCTGCTGCTGTTGCTGCTGCTGCTGCTGCTGCTGCTGTTGCTGCTGTTGCTCCATCGGTATGTGAACGAGCGACTGAGACTACTGCAGCGGGCCATTGTCTGACAAGATAATTGAGCCGTTGAATCGCATGATCGTTGCCTTGATGCTACCTTTGATCTTAATCTATTTCTTCGCAACCATAAATGCGACGCCATGTAAGTCTTTACAAGCTGTTTCCGTTATAGACTAATCCGAAATAAAACAGTCCCTGCCCTAATTACGAGATGAAGCGCTGACAAGAAGGTGGACCCTAAACAGCCATGATTGCGTTCATCTATTCAAAATTCTCAAAACGTCTGGCGGGCGGAGGGTCAAACAGTTGGCAAAAAAAATCTCCTGAAATCATGGCGGATCATCCATGATAACTTATGTCGATCGTATCTCTAACAATGCCTGCGTCGGTAAGTTGCTTCTTGCCAGACCACGACGACAGCCAATCTGTTGTCTCGTGTCTGCGTTGCAACAACACTAAGGACGCCGATTCTGCCCGTCGTAATGGCAGTCAGTTACGTCACGTTATGCCACCTTCCGTTATTGCGCTGTCCTCAAGAGCGTGACAGCTGTGCTTGCGACAGAGACGGGTGAAGGAGACGAGGCAAGGGAAGGCGGATACCCTCGAGTGCCTAGGGAGTTGTGGTTGAGGAAGAGAGGGGGGAAGAGAAGAGGTGTGCGGTTGGCGTGAGGAGTTGCGCGTCATTTCATAGCTTAGCGGGTGGCTCGGTTATTGCCGAAACAATCCCAGGGAATGTCGGGCGAGCATACCTCGGCTTTCAGGCTCGGGTTTGGTTTGGTTACGAGGAGGGAAAGCAGTGAGCGGCTGGGCTGTCAGGTACGGAGCGGTTGACCCACCGTGTGGCGTATTCGGGCAGCTTGTACTGGGGTGATGCCCGAAGGAGTACTCTGATTGGCTGTGATGGGGGCCAGACAACTTACATGTAACGCCTCCACAACGCCGAGGTGGGAATCGTGCATAACATGCCTGATGGTGGTCGTTTGGCTTGGAGAAAGAAGTGGTGGGGTGGGTGCTCGAAATGGACAGCGTCGATGTTTATCTCAATGCACCCCATCGCACCTACATCAATTCGACAAAAACCGATGCCAATAACGATATCGTCGACACAAGGTTGCCTCGGGGATGTAGATCAAACTGAGGGTGATACTGGGTACAAGGTTAACCTTAAACATTATCTACGATACGTGTAAGGAAAAACCCTTTTCCTTACTTCGCGTCCCTGCTCAGCGCGTACACCACTGTTCCCGCCAACAGCACCCCACAATATTCCGTTACCACTCGCGACATTCGCCTCGACTCCATTCCCGCCACTGTTCACGATGCGACCCAACCTCACGGCTCGGTTGGTAACCCGCGCTCCGGACCTCCGCCTCGACAGTTCCCCAACCTCGGCACCAGGCCCGTCGCGCACCCCATGTTTCCACGCGTTACCGTTGCCACCGTAGCTTCGCTATATATTCTTCGCTCAATCCTTCGTTCATTGTATCTTGTCTCGATAGTGCGATCCTCGCTCGCTCACTCAATTGCACTCGTAACACTTGCTTATCAAAGCCTACGATCTTCTCTCGAACCGCACCCACACCTTCGCTTCCCACCTATCTCAATTTTTTTGGGGGGGGTAGACGTCTCTCAGCGATCAAGCACCGCCGCTCATAGTGCTCTCTCGTAAGCACGCACGGCCACGACAGAGGCTCTCGCTGAGCTTGCCCGACACCCCCGCCATGGCTGAAATCACTCTCGCGATACTGACGCAAGCGCAGCTCGACCGTCTCGTACGCCAACTCGAAGAATCGGCCCTTGAAATCGCCACACTCACGGCGGAACGAGACTCTGCACGCCAGCAATCGACAGCGAATGCACCAGCACCAACAAACACACAATCAGAGCAGCCGATCGAAATCTCGTCAGGCACACCAACACAGCATGACAGTATGGGACAACGCCCAGGCGTAGCCAGTGAAGGTGTCGCTCACTCAATGCCTGGCAAGGAGAGAAACAGGACCGCACCAAGCCCGCAGGAGCCCCGCGAAGCCCGTCGGCACGTGGAATTTGCAGCGACAAGCGGCGAGTATACCGTCACGGCACCAATGCCACTCAAACCGCAGCGTCCGCCCTGTTTCGACCCGAGCCAACGTGGAGGTCCGACGGTTCAATCGTGGGTCTTCACGATAAACGTATTTTTCTACGCAAATTACGTCGAGTCGGACGCAGCGAAGATTCGCTACGCTGTTTCGCTGCTGAGGGGCCCCGCCATGGACTGGTGGCGAGTCATCGTGACGTCGCCACGCGCCTACGAGCCACCGTCGCAAGAAGAAGGGCCCATGGGCCCAGCCGTCACCTGGAGTTCATTCTGCGAGACAGCCCAGTACATCACGTGGGATGCGTGGTGCGCAGGGCTTCGGGGCGCGTTTCGAGCCGATTGCGGCTTCGATTTCGGCGCGTCAGAAGCTGCGCACTTGGCGGCAGCTCGGGTCGGTTCAAGACTACACGAGCGGTTTTCTCGCATTATGCGAGCAAGTCGGCTATATGCACGAAGCGGAGCGGGTGGACCGTTACGTCGGAGGGTTAAAGCCGGACATCTCGCATGAAATCATGCTACGCGGGCTCTCGAATTTCAACGAGATTCTCGAGCTCGCCGAGAAAATTGACATTCTACGACGACCGAGACCGGGGTCCTACTACGGACAACGTCCTCGGGGACCGATCGAGCACGCCACCGTACACGCCGTTGCGACAAATGCAGCTGCCGCACCGGCTTTGCTTGCAATAGGCCGGGCCATCGCAAGAGTGAATGCTCAGAGGAGCTGAGGCGTCGCGGAACAGAGCAAGGGCGAGAGTCTCAGAGGCCGGGAAACGCCAGCAGTCAGTAGAAGTTGGGCCAAGTACTGACGAGACTGCCTGCTCGCCCAACTTCACCGACCCTCACCGATTCACAGTACCGATTCACGCTATCGATCGGGCTCGGACGAATAAGGAGGGTACAATGACGGATTGCCCCGTACCGATTCACGGGAAAATACAGGGAGCAGCAGTGAAGATTTTTATAGACGGAGGCGCAAGTCACAGCTTAGTTAATACTGCGACTTCAAGGAAGCTGCAACTGACACTTTGTCGGTGCTTACCGGAGATGGACGCGCGCTTAGTCGACGGAACACCGCTGGCCATACGGGAAAAAGTGGAGAGGGTAAAAGTCCGCTGTGGGGGGAACTTCGGATTTACACTGGAAATGCTCGCGACGACATTGGATGGTCACAATATTTTACTAGGACGTGATTGGCTGCGGCGATACAACCCGCGAATCGACTGGACGACGGGTAGCTGCACTGTGCGAAGTAGTGGTAACTGGGTGGAACTACCTCGCTGGCAGTCGCTCGAGTCATCAACGGCCCACATCAACGCCATCACGATGAAGCGGGCTATCGCCGCTGGAGCTGAGGTGTACGCGGTAGATATCGCAATGGTGGGAGAAGCAGAGCAGCCGAGCGATTTACAGAAACTACTGGCGGCGGTACCACCCGAACTACAGGAACTGTTGAAGCAATACCCGGGGATTTTTCCCGACGACTTACCGGAGGGACTGCCACCTCAGCGAGCACATGATCACCGAATAGAATTAGAACCCGGGGCACAGCCAACCGTACAGCGACAGTTCAGACTGACACAGCCCGAGCTCGACGAGCTAAGGAAGCAGTTAGATTACCTGTTAGAGAAAAAATTCATCCGACCGAGCTCATCGCCGTTCGCCACACCGATCCTGTTCACACCGAAAAAGGATGGAGGATTTCGCATGTGCATCGACTACAGAGCACTGAACAGGGTTACAGTCAAATCGCGATACCCTATCCCTCGCGCCGACGAACTGATAGATCAACTGTGAACAGCACAGGTCTTTTCGAAAATTGATTTACGGGGAGGTTACCATCAGATTCGGGTCGAACCATCGGACTATGCCAAGACAGCATTTAGGACTAGGTACGGGTCTTTTGAGTACATAGTGATGCCTTTCGGACTGACCAACGCACCGGCGACTTTTCAGATGACCATGAACGAGGCGTTTAGACCACTCTTAAATAAATGCGTGATCATCTATCTCGACGACATCCTAGTCTACAGCCGTGACAAGCAGCAGCACTTAGCCGATTTAGAAGCAGTCTTTACAGTTTTAGACAAACACAGACTACTGACCAAGGTTCCAAGTGCGAGTTCTTCCAGGACAGGCTAGAGTTTTTGGGGCACGTTATTTCGGAGGCTGGAGTCGAAATCGACCCAAAGAAGCTAGACACGGTCAAAGCGTGGCACCCCCCGACGAACATCACGG